CACCCAACTCGTGGCGCAAGTGCCAGCTTGACTACGTGCTGTGCGAAAGAAGTTCAACATACGCACATAAAATAAGAATAGGTTTTACCCTTACTGGCAATTAAACAGTTGTGTTAAGATGTTAAAGCGCCAAACAGAATCCTCTTGCAAGGAATCGTGTCTGCATTGACGACACACAATGATTGTGGTGAACATGCAAACAAAATAAAACATGCTCTGGTAGTTTATGATGCATTGTCTTTTTTAACTGATTCGTCCACACCAGAGACAGCGTTCTGTACAGCCGAGTCGCAAACAGCGTTCGACCAGAGGACGCTAAAAGGCGAACAGCTCAAGTGCTGTGTGTGGTTAATGCAGACAGGATTCCTTGCGAAAGGTTTCTGTTTGGTGTTTTAACATCTTAACACAACTGTTTAATTGCCAGTAAGGGTAAACCTTCTTCTAATATGTTGATACTGGCAAGAAGGTCCCGTACGTCCACACATTGTTGCACCTTGGCATCACGAGATATGACGGCAGCTTGGGACTGCGTTCATCCAGCAGTTGTTTGACCATAGCTGATGATGATGGTCCATTGAAAGGGGGGGAAGCGGGGTGGGTGGTGGGTCCTAAGATGTGTCTACATGGGTTTGCAAATTAGCTGTGCCCGTGACAGCTCTTAAGCATACGGGCCGTGATTGAATGGAAAGTGTTGATGCTGTTTGTTAATGGGATTTCCACGCTGTCTTCCCTTGTCATTGGTTTGAGAGAGAGGGAGAGAGAAAGGGGCTGTACCCAAGAGACTGAGATGGGATAATGGGGGTGCAGAGGGACAGATCATTGCCTATAGATTGGCACCGCGTTGGGCGTTGATGTGTTAGCTCTGAGAACGTGCTTTGATACAAATGTGTGTTTTTGCAGAGGCCCGACGTTGAAACAGCTCTTGGGAGATTTTGACTTCTGGGCGCCTCGTTGCGATGCCGATGATGGGAACGATTGTGGTTAGTTGTCTCGAGAAAAACCGAGGGGAGGGAGGGGGGGGAGACATACAGACAAACACGCGTCCGTTGGATAATGACTCACGTGTAATCCTTGAAACCGAAGGTGGTGGGGTTTTCATTCTGTCCGTGTGATGATGATGATAGTGGTGGTGATGATGACGGTGGTAGTGGTTATCATGGCACCTGGGGCTGTCTCGAGACCTCCTGTCAGCGAGCCTTCGACACTTCACGTGGCCTCAACGTGCACCTAGCCTGGCACAGGCACTTAGTGGCGAATGGCGGCAGTGTGGGTATTAGCATTTGTGGTTATCAACAGATATGATAATAATTGCTAATCACCAGTGATTGTTATTTATGATGTTATTGTTGCCTACAGTTAATTTGATTTATATGATTAATAGCAATTAAAGTTCCATTGAAGCATGCTACAAAAAGTGATAAGAATGATGATGGTAATGATGATGTTGATGATGACCAGGAGTTAAGATATAATGATGACGATGATTGACAATTGTACAAAGGGTGATGATGATCATGGCTCTCAATATGTACCATGGTGAAAACCAATTGTTCAAATAATAATGATGAAGATAATTGTGGCAAATGGCACAAAGTCACAATGTTTACATCAGCAACAATTGCACGTGAGTAGGCGACACGTGGCTGAATATAGCGGCAGGGAGATGAAACAATTTAGCAGTGTTTGATGACGCTATCACATAATTATGAATTCACACATTTTTATTTATTTCCGAGAGCCGTAGAGGGAAGGCAGTAATGTTTTTATTCGCTCTAATAAATTCCGGCAGATTACAGCTATCTCACACTCACAGGGGATCCATTCCGTGCCCATAACTATTTGTTATATTCATTACCGCTGCCAATACAATTCCCCTGGGAATCGCGTATGACGAGTAACTTTGGAGATAATTAAGAGAGTGCGGTGCTGATAGGAGTAAATCAAAGATGAAAATCGATGCATTTTACACCCCATCACTGTAACGAAAAACCAAAAACCCTACAAACCCATGCTCATTTTTCTGCCCCCTCCCCTCTCCTCCCCCCAGTGCTTTCCACCGTTTTTTTGTGCACCGAGTCTTGCCACCGACGTCTTGATGCAATGGTCGGGCGACACTTGGCTTGCAATTCTTAGAGGTCGCCAGCTCGATTCGATCTCCCGGCCAACGGCGGTCGAAGCGATGGGGCAGGAAGGATCGAGTCGATCGGCGGCACGCGTGCGGTGGTGGGGTGAAGTGTGGGCAACTCCCACCTCTTTCCAACGTCTTTGGATGTCCCTCTGGTGGGATATCTAGAGCAGTGGTTCTTAACCTTTTTGGAGGTACCGAACCCCACCAGTCTCATATGCGCATTTACCGAACCCTTATTAATTGGAAAAATAAAATATGATTTTTTCAAATTTCAAAACATAGGTATATGTTTTACTGGTGCACAATCATATGAGTCGGGTGTGTGTCTTAACCTCCGCCGAACCCCTGAGACTGACTCACCGAACCCCTGGGGTTCGATCGAACCCAGGTTAAGAACCACTGATCTAGAGGCATCGTGAAAGGGGAGGGTCACTGGGTACCCTCTGCTCCATGCGGAGGCCCTCTTGCCAGTAATATGGCGGGCAAGCCACTGCAAGGGGCTGCTGCACCTTTACCTTTTCTTACTCAAGCACGCGGACTTCGGCATTCATTGTTGAGCGTGCGAGGTTATTGGGGGACGAGAGGAAAGCCCCTTCGAGGAGGGGGCACTGTAGACGCGGCCTCTAGTGGAGGGCCCTACCACCACCAGCGACGTGAGCGAGCAAATTGCAGGGGGGGGGGGAAGGGGGGGGGGCTGGCACCTTTAGTATCCAACTCCCGTAACTTCGATCGCTGCTTTCGTGCACTCTCTCTCTCTGCGTGTTAATAAGACAAGTGGCAGGGCGGTGAAGTGGCCGGAGTGGCTCGGGGGAATTGCAGTCGACATCCCTCCCTCTCACATGCGAGGAGTTCAGCCTCTCGGCCCGGCCGAAGTGAAAAATGAGTGTTGCGAGCTCCTTCGAGCGGAAAGGATTTATCCCCCAACCCACCGTCTACCACCACCCCAGGTCGGTTTAATCAGCTGGAGGGGGAAGCTGGAGGGGGGGGGGAGGCTGCGGAGCTGGGTGTGTCGTTATATTCCCGTGACACGTGCAATCCGCCCCCTTAGACCTGTAAAGGAGAGCCGACCCACGGTTGCAGGGGGTTCGTCTTTTATTCCTTTCCTCCCATCCACACCTGTCCCCAGCCGTCCCAATCTCGCTCCCGCTGACCGCCGCCTCTTCCTGCCCATTCTCTTCCTTATATCTCCTCACCTGCTCCTCCCCCTTCTCCTGTCACCGTCCCCCTCCTGTTGGTGGGAATCCTTGCCCTGACACCCCTACATCACCACTACAGGACCCAACTCAGCATTGCCGAATGAGAGCGACGGGAGAGATCAGACGGGGATCTATTCCTGCGCGAGCAGCGATGCACGCGCAAAGGCCGAACACGAGAGGCAACTTCTCGCGACGTGGTTCTCGTGAGGACGGACAGACGGGAAGTGTGCCCTGGGCCTCTGATGGGCGCAGAAAGGCCTCAAATAGGATTAGTTAGAAAGCCGACCCTTGGTGTAGACCAATCAGTTTCAAGTAAAATGCATATATTATCAGAGTGTGTTTTTTGTTTACATTTTGACTGCAGGTATTGTGGTTAATGCAGATATGAATCCTTGTAATAAGGTTTCAGTTTTGTTGCTAGAAAAAAGGGGGAAAACCCTATTATTAGAATTGGTTGTGGCCGGAGAATTGAACCGATTTCGTTGAGAAATTCAAACGTAAAAGGCGCGGGGACACGAGGGTGGACTATCGGGGGGGGGGGGGGGGGGAGGGGTTAAAGGTTGACAACCGTTAGGAGGAGGAGGAGGAGGAGGACGAGGCTTGGCAGAGGGAAATGGGGTGAGCGAACCTTCGAGAAAGGGGGGCTCGAGGGATATAAAAGGGATTGAGCACCAAGGGGGAAGGGACGCTTGGAGAGAAGACGAAGCCCGGGCCTTGGAATAGCGTTGGCGTCCACAATAACGGCTCTTGGCAAAGCAAGCACGTGTGTCGGCGTCACTGCATACTTTGTACTTCTTTCGCACCGTACGTAAGCCAACCCGTGCTAATCGGAGGTGTGGGGGAAGGACACCAAACTAGACACACACGGTAAAAGCTGTGGCATTGAAATATGCCGCCGCTGTGTAACTCTCACGCTGTCAGCGGCAATTTGTGCCTCTTTGTGCCAGTTTGATTGTGCCAATTCTGACCTGCCTCGACTGGACATCTGTACAAACGAGAGCTTTATAGCTCATCGGATTCCTCCAGCATAAGTGGTGATTTATATAATTGGTGTTATTATTATTACGCTTGTTAACCCAATAAATCCTCGCTGAATCTCAAGACGTTTTTTTTTCTTTCAGGAGGGTCCCTGCCAAGTTTTTGTAGCAGTGCGGGGGAGATGCTGCTGCTGCGACTGCTGCTGCGTGCAATGTCTATTGAGTCGTGTGCAGGGTCGTTTTTCTGCGTTGGGATGCTTGGCGAACACAAGCCGCGTCGCATTTTGTTGATTCGTGTTTAGCTATGAGAGGCAACCTGAGAACCAAGTGGAAAGGCACGCAAACCAGGGAGAGAACACGCAAACTCGACGCGTAAAAAGCGCGCCCGAGTTGGAAATCGAACCCAGGCCCCATGTCTTGTTGCGTGCAGGCGCGAGTGTCACCCACCCCTTGACCGGCAGACGAACGCCCACCTGTGAAACCGGCTTTCCCGAGCGAGCTGCGTGCGTGTCACACGGGGACAGCTGCCACCGGGCGTGCTCTTTCGAATTGTGTTGAGCCTAGGTGCGCCCATGCAAGTCGCTTTGTCGCGCGCGAAGCTCTCTCTGTGAGACGTGCCTGGTGTGAAGTCGTCGTCGTTGTCTCTCGCCGGCTGCGGCGTGCCGACGTGACCTTGCCCGGCTATGTCTTCCCGGCCAGGCGGAATCTTTGAGACGGTGGAGGGAGGCCCCGCGAGCGCCGAGGAGATCGCCTTCAAGTTCGCCGTGAACAGCATCAACAGGAACCGGACGCTGCTGCCCAACACCACGCTCACGTACGACATCCAGAGGATTAACATCTACGACAGCTTTGAAGCCTCGCGCAAAGGTGGGGGAACGCCGCTCGGTCTCCCCCCCCTCCCCCTTTGACCCCCACGCACCCCCCCCCCCCTTGAGACCTTCTTGTGCTGGGGGAGGGGCTTTGGAAGGCTAAGATCAGATCGGAATCTTTATTTAAACTGGAGGAATCCGATGAGCTATGCAGTTATTTTTCACAGATGTCCAGTTATGGGCGGGCATGTAGCGTAATAACATCTGGGAACTCCCGTTCTGGATGGGGGTTGACTCAGCCCATGACACACCCGGGATGGGTTAAAACGGGTACCGGTTTGTGGGGAAGTCAACAGGGGTTGTGACCTACGGAGAGACTCGCCCCTCCAGTTGCTCCACAGGGAGATGAGCACCATCTCAACCCTCGAGATCTCACCTTGACACTTGAGGCCCACATCTTCCACAGTGTGTGGCCTGGCCAGCAACGAGGAGTAGACCAGCATCCCCTCTACAAGGGCCACTCTTCAGCTCCCTTCTCGCGGATGGAGGGCCTTCTACCAGCAGCCGCGTGAGTCAAGTTAAACGCTGGGCCTTTGTTTTGCCCGTAACTAGGAACAGCGAAATTGGATTCATGGTCACCGGCGAGTGGGAATTTAGTTAGGAATTCTGGAGAGTGCGTAGCTCAGGGGGTTCGTGGTAGGGGGGGGGAGGTTATGGAGGTTATTCAAATGAGGTGGCACAGCATATGGTCTTCCGTGAAGCTCCTTAGTCGTTCTCTTCTCAACGGGGGGCGGGGGAGGGGGATGAGGCAGGGCGAGGGGTGATGGTGGTGGTGTGGGGGATTTATCACCCCGGTATTTAAATTGGCACCAAGCGGCACTAAATTGCGCCGAGAGCGACCGAGCAGCGTGTGTTGGCAGTGCCAGCGTTGTGTGCGGCTGTGTGCGGGAGTGGTCCCCCCCCCGCCGTTTGAGTGGATCCGCTGGAGCGTGTTGTGTCTGTGTGCGACTCTAGTGCGTGGGCGGAATTTTAGAAGTTGTGCAGCAGCGTCCCCCCCGCACATTCATATGCGGTGGAGTTGTCAGATTTTTTTTCTTCTTGAATTAATGCCAAAAAATGACATTTTTTTTCCATCCGTGGCTTTGCTGCCCGATATTTCGTCTTTTTTTTCCTCTCCGTTGGAAATAATAATAATAAATGTAAAAAAAGTGTGTATCTGTTTGTCTCTTAGCACCATTTCCCCATAAATAAAGATGAGCTCTTATCGTGTTTAGCCCGACGTGCCTTCGTTTGCATTTTAGCCGCGATAACGCCGCCATCACTTGGTGACATTTGACGGCGGAGTCAGCTTCAGACGTGATTGGGGGGAAGGGTGGCGATGGGGGGGAAATAAAATAAAATCGTCCAGAATTTGCATGTGATGGTGAGCTATTCCTCCACAATCGCCTTTTAAGGGAAGCAATTAATCGTGTTGAATGGTTTTTTTTTCACGAGCTTTTTGAAAATGTTCATTGAGCAGGGAGGGAGGGGAGGCAGTGTTCATATTTATACATATTTTTGGTCGTCCGTCCGATATATTCGCGTGCCAACTTTGATCAGACGTCAAAGCTATGTTTGCTTGCACGTAAAAAGACACGCAATATTTATGCCCATATTATACTCGAGATTGCATTTTTGTTCGTTTGTTTCTAAATTGAACCCACCATATTTATTTCATGGCGAATTGGTCAGCGCACTGGAATCGCAGCCCGTAGGCTCGCCGGTTCTATTCCCTCTCCTGGCACGGCAGTTGAAACGGGGGCACAGGTTTCTTAATGCCTTTGAGTACCGGCACGGTTAGTCGATCGGCAGGTGACATGTGGTGGGGTAAAGTGTGAGGGTATACTGCTCTCTTTCAAGATATCTGGACGGCGTGGAAGAGTAGGCCAAGCATATGCCCTGGAGGCGCTCTCTAGAGCTCCCTCTAGTGTAGGTCTTCTGCCAGCAGTGGCGAGAGTCAAACTGTTGCAGGGCCGCACCTTTACCATTTCCATCTATATTACAACAGGGATAGCAATATTTTTTTTTTTTACAATATTCCACTTATATTTAAGCCCCATATGTATGCAACGTCATCCAATCTAATTCGTGGGTTGCTGCTAGGCATTGTTAAGTTTAAATATTAAAGTCGGTAACAGAGCTAGGTATGTTAATGTGATTATCTTTCTTATTCAAAACTTTTCTATGGCTTCGATATGTATTCATGCATTATGTATGTGTGTATTTATTAATAATGTACCATATGCTTCTGTACATTGAGTTTGTGTATTACACGCCTGTGCGCTGTGTGTATTGTGTGTGTTTTGTGTGTGCTATTGTGGGCGTGTGTTGCATACTTGCGTGCTGCGTGTATTACAAGCCTTTCTGTAGTGTGTCTGCATTTGTGCTGCTTGTGTGAATAACACGTGTGTTGTGTGTTTGTTCCACGTCTATGTAACTTGGGAACACGAGGTCGATTTCCGCTCAAGGTCAATACTACCAGTGACGATTATCTGAACCAGTCCTGGGCCTCCCCTAGGTCGACTCAGCTTCATATGGGAAAGACAGGCGACCGAGCGTGGTGCTGGCCACTTGCACACCAACAGCACTTGCTCCAACAGTCTGTTAAGGGTAAATGGGGAGAGGGAGGGGGGGTCTTTGTATAGCTCCAGACCACAGGCATAGTCTAATAACATTGATAAGAATGACATCACTTGCAAGGTTAGACATCGGCACAAAGAGTTAATATTTACTTTGGGGGGAAAAATTTATTGGACGGATTTCATGGCATTTAAATACTCATCCCTGTGGTCAACAGCAGCCTAAGCACTTTAGTATGTTCTCCTTAATGTCACAGATGAGCCGCGGTTGTAGAAAATCCTTTTACCAGCAAGCTAAGAGGCCATCGAGACATTATATATCCTTTGCTCAACAAACGCTGGGATGCGACTGGCAGTCTGGTAAATAGTCGAGCACTCTGGAATCCGTGAAAGATGGTTTTGTTTTGGTCTTTTCCATCGCCACCAAAGTGAATCACGTCGGGTTAGGATGCGTGTTGAGCATAACTTCAGTCTTGCTTTTGCCAAACACTACTGGAGTTGAAGATATCCCAGCAATAATGTGACAATTAATATAAACGCATTATGCATTATACTGTAGGCAATAACATTCTATCATACGCAAGTCTAGGCATGTCCCCCATCTTCATCTGAGTGTCGGTTGGCTGTTCATCTTCACGGATGGTGCTGAGCCAACGGATGGGAAATTCCACATTGCTGTGGCAGGAACTTAGCCTCCGGCTCCTGGCAGGGACAAGCGTCTCTCTTGTGCACGCCGATGTTTTAGTCGCATCGCCGGTTTCGCCAATTTTTTGAAGGAGCGCGTGCGACAAAAAAAAAAGCATGCGCTGAGCGCACGAGAGATGGATGATTATTTTTTGGTTGAAAGGCGTTTGGAGCGGATTCTTGAAGTCAAATGGTAGCACGATGTATCAAGCGGTGGGCTGAATAATAAATCACAGCAGACATCGCTTAATTCAGCGAAAGAGTGGCTGAAGGGTCCCGCGCGTTCCCGGAACACCGCATCGCACCGCTCGCAAAGGTCGCCCCAGTGGTGTCGCGCGCAGAAATATTTACCGTATTTTCCAAATTTAACGTCGCAATATTTGCCCCACCCTGCTCCCCCTCCGTATATGTAAGCGAATTTTTTGGGGGGTGAGTCTCAACAATCCGCTCGGTGTGTGTGTGTGTGCACATGAGCAGATCCGTACGAATTTATTGACGTCAGGGGGTCAAGTTTTGAGTGGGGCTGACCTGGCGTGCTACCAAGAAGGTCCATTGATCAAAACGTCACTTATCATACGGCATATATAGATAGAAGAACAATTCTGTTAAGGCGGTGTTATTCGACAAATGTGTTGAGTATTTGGCTTACTTACCAAAGCGTATTGCAGCCTGTCGAGCACAGACCCTGAGGCCCGATGCGCCAAGCGGCCAGCAACAAGCGGCACGGATGAAGGGGTAATCGAGATGAGAGTTCATGCTTTTATCGAATTGAGCAAGGTTGTAAGAACTTGGCAAAGCCGACGTGATGGGAGGGAAGTTGAGAGTGGAGCAGAGCGAGGGGAAGAAGCAGAGAGGAGAGAGGGAGGGATGGATGGAAGTGAGATCACCTGCATTGTGGTAAGCGCGTGAGTCAGTTGGTGAGTGAGTGTATTGTTGTGACCTGCACGTAGCCCGCATGCCCTGGCAGCTTCTGTTCGGCCTGGCCGAGGGGGCTAAACTGGCGCGGCACGGGCTAGATAAGAGATGGAGTGATGTGGCATAGAAGGATGTGGAGTTGATTGGACTTGCCGATGACTGGAACCAGCGGTGTCAAGATCGGCCTCTGTGGAGGAGGTTTGTAAAGGACACTGTTGGGGAGTTTGGAGGCAGTCGCCCTCCAACAACAACAGAGGGCAGAGGAGCGGCGCTTACAACAATGAGCAGAGTGCCGGGTGGCTAAAACGCAGAGAGTTAGCACAGTGGCGAGCACAGGTGATACATCTGCCAGTCATCTCATTCAGTCAACCTATGACACCTGGGTCTGTCCCGTGACCTCCTGCCTGTGGGCCTTCGACACTTCACGTGGCCTCAAAGTGCACCGAGGATGGCACAAACGACTTGGTGACATCACCGCCACTTAGTGGTGCACGGCGTTTGTTGCTGTCGCGTTATGGTGGAGGTTAAACAAAGTGTGGACGAGATGATATAATCAGTCTGGTTGGCAGTTTGCCGTGACGGAGCAGAGACTCTTCTAAGCAGAGATTTGTGAAAAGTATACCTTGTCTGTGTCGATGTTGAAACACCACAAGTATATAATCACTGTGCTTGTGTTTAAAGTTATCACAAATGTGCATGGTGTAAGATATATGTACACGTTGTAACATTGCTATCGTTGTTGTTGTTGTTGTTGACGGCCTGACTATACTGTGCTGATGAGTCCTAATTTGTAATGAAACCGGATCACCGTCATATATCACTGCTTACTGTCAGTCGCTCACGTTTGATCAATTTGATGTTGACGGTGACCAACGATTAGAGGAACCACAGTGAACTTCTTTTTAAAATGCTGATGTTTTTGTTGTTGCCGAAATGCACAGTTGTGGTGTTGTTTGCAACTTGTCTTTTTTCCCCCAGCCTGCACTATTATTGTGCTATGATAGGGTTTATTTTGTCTTGCAACGTACAGATTTGATTTGCAAACTCTGTCGCTCAGTTTCAACGAGGATGACAATTCTTTGAGATGCGTGATTCGATCGCGCCATGCCGAAGTTATTACGAGCATGAGCGTGATGTTGGCTCTGGAGAAATCTGAAACGAAGCTACAATTTCAACGGTGCGTTTTGGGAGTTTTGTTGCGTGCCCATAGGTAAATCATGGTGGGGTACACACATACACACACGTTCACAAAAACGGAATTTCGTGAAACACCGCCAAAATAATTTTTTTTATCTCACAAATTATTTACATTGCAAATTCTCGAACATCATATGCAAAAGTAAAAAAGGTAATGGAGCAGCCCTGAAACTTCTATCTCACACCACTGCTGGCAGAAGGGCCTTCACTAGACTGAGCTCTAGAGATCACCCTCTGCAGGGTATTTGGCCTAATCTTCGGCACTGGCTTGGCATGAGGTACCCACACTTTACCCCACCACAGGTAACACGCGGCGTATGCCACTATAACGCCTGGGTTGACGGAGGCAACCTGTGGATTATAAGTCGAGTGTGCTCACCATTACACCACGGCTGCGTCCCTATCACTTATTATCAGGGCTTAGTTTCTCACTGATACTAAACACAAAATATATATATACACAGTGGAAATATCCCCTGGCTGAGATAGGGAATTTGCCAATCTTTCTCGTGCAGTAGGGAGATTGGGGCCCCCCCAATGACATGGCACTATCTGATCACCAATAACAACCCCTTCAGCAGTCAGAGGAAGTTTCAGATAAAGGTGGCCTGCAAAAAATTGTCTGGTGAAAGCTGTCTCCCAGCTGCTGATGGGCACAGACTGGCATGCCCCATTGCATGCCAAGCGAAGAAAGTTGGAGTACTTAAGAACAAAAATAACAACCACAAACATCACCACAAGCTGCGTTTACAATTATCGGTGCTTTGTTAAATTTATGAGATATATATTTTTAAGAACGACAAGCACAATGGAAAAAGCCGTGTTTCCCATATATATTGCTTTTCTACGAATCTGAACAAAAAGCAAGCTGGACCTTCCCAGTAAACTTGCAACGTTGTGTCAACAATGGCATGTTGTTGGAACTGTTAGACCAACGTTGGACCACAACGTTCAATGTGTTCTGGGTTAGCATATGTTCCAAACTATGATATGCAACCGAAAGTGAATGCATATCTTTTAACATGGAAAACATGAACAACTCTGTTATTACACTGCTGTGTTAAGGCCATTCCACGCCCTGTCAATAACGGGGGTTGTTTGACCGTACTTAACTGCACTGGTCTCAGTGAGGGTTCGTGAAGGCAACGGGCTCAGGACCGGTACAGATATTACCCACCAACGATGTCAGAGGCGGTTGAGAATCGAACTCAGGTCACGGGGTTCATCGCACGGTGTGTGCAAACCATCGCATCACCGCTCGAACCTTTATGCTCGTATAATTTAGCCTAAGTGGATTTATCTTGCAAGCAAGGCAATCATGTGGGCCGTAATGTGTGCCAAACAGATTCAACTCTGAAGAAGAACCGCTGCCAGAAATGCCAAACTCTTGTATATTGTTTCTGTTATAAGTCCGTGTTAATGAGAGTATGTTTTTTGGCATTTGCGCTTTTGTATTTGTGTTCATGCACCACTGCCAACACATCCCCTGACTTGTACAACAACAACAAAAGTTACGAGTCATCGATGTGACATATAAAACCCGGCCCAGTTTATTTATCGCTAGGCTTGCTTTCGGTGAGAGCATTGCATTTTAAGTCAAGCTGACGGAATTTCTGTCCAATGTATTTTTTTGCGGTGACGTTACCGCAAAGTGTCATTGTCAAAATCTGCACATATATTGTGTAGACGCTGTAGTTGTAGATCGAGATGTCACCAGCGCATCGCCAACGATTTCTGCCCTCCGCCAGATCCCGCAGCTGTCGCTCAGTCAACACGGGGTCTCCAAGACCTGCCCTAACAGTCTAACTCGCTATAAACTAACGATGAACTATTTTATTTTATTTTACCAAGTAAGGCCCCACTGAGCTACACAGCTCTTTTTCAGAAGCGACCTTGATATCACAAATGATAGCTCAACGAAGTGGCTCGTCATGTTGAAATTTATTGCAGTCAAAATAATCTAAACGCGTGTTTCTAAGTGTGGAGGGAAAAACCGGAGGACCCAGAGGGAAATCCACGCGACCACGGGGAGAGACACATGTAAACTCCAAATACGCAACAGGCATCAGGGTTGGGATCGAACGCACAACCTCCTGTATAACAGGCGAGATAGTTAACATCGCCACCATGACGAGATGTTAACTGCATAGATTGCAAGTGGTATGGGCCAAACATCCCAATGCTGAAGAATTACCAGCAAAGTACTCAATTGGAATTGCAATTAGCGATGTTGCCCCCTCTTGCGAATTTTGGCAAGGCCCTCTGGAAGGGGGGGGGAGTCTTTAGATTGAGTGCTGCTTTCCTGGATAAACACGCAGAATCACAATCATCGCGTGATTAAAAACAACAACTGTAAAACAAAACATCACATTGAGCAAGAAGCCCTCCCTTCGCTCATTCATCCGTGTATTAATTGAATGAAATTGTCCTTTAAAAAAGGACATTCAGAAGGCACGGGAGAATACATTAAAGAGAGAGAGAGAGAAAGGCTTCAGATCGTGACAGGAGAACGGCACAGCCCCTCCTGCGTGCGAGGTGAGAGAGTAACGGAGTGAATTCCAGACTGGAGCTTGTTGAAGGCTCTTAACAACCGCTCTGGGCTGGAATAGAGCGACGCTGACCGACCGACCGACTGACTTTGCGCCCATTAGACCCGAGCTTTCATTCCGTAATTCGCACGGAATGCCTCGTGCAAGCTGTTAGTTTCACGGCTGTTACCGGACGTGGTTCTCCCGGCAGCCACAGCGGCAGCCTTCGACACACCGCCGCCGTCGCGGCTGCCGAGCCGCAATTCAATTTCAAACCAATTTTTACGGCTGCTATATTTACACCTGGGAGCAAGAAAAAGAAAAAAATGCCGATTAACTAAGGACAGTGTGCTCTGTCTGTGTCTGCCTGTCTCTATGTCTCCTCTTCATATCTCATTGTTCAATATCATCGTATCTCCGTGTGTTCCCGGCCCACACCTATTGCTCTCCCTGTTCTTGTTTTTGAGTAATATGCCCATTTATTTCACGATATGTTAATTTGTCATCGACTCACTGTTACATCATCTTCCTCCTCCTCCTCCTCTTCACAATCTTCTAACCCTTCTGAATTGCTTTGCCTCTCATCCCCTAAATCATCCCTCACTCACCAATCTCATTTAAACATCCCACCATGTGCTCTTCAAATTTAGTTTCTTTCTCTTAGTTTTTTGTTACTTTCATCTTTCCCTTTTTCTCTCTTTCTCTGTGCTCACTCCAACATTCATCTCTCTCCACTTGTCCCACCCTCATCTCCTATAACCACCCCCTCCACTTACTTCTCAATTTCTTTCTTCTCTTCCATCTCAATGCGTCTCTGCCCTACCCCGATTCTTCCCTCCCCACTCACTTACCCCTAACATTACTCTTGCACTGTAACCCTCACTGCGCCACCCTCTGTGCCACCCTCTGTGCCATCCTCTGTGCCACCATCTGCACCACCCTCTGTGCCACCCTCTGTGCCACGTTCTGTGCCACCCTCTGTGCCACCCTCTGTGCCATCCTCTGTGCCACCCTCTGTGTCACCCTCTGCGCCACCCCCTGTGCCACCCTCTGCGCCATCCTCTGTGCCATCCTCTGTCCCACCCTCTGTCCCACCCTCTGTGCCACCCTCTGCACCACCCTCTGTGCCACCCTCTGCGCCACCCTCTGCGCCACCTTCTATGCCACCCTCTGTCCCACCCTCTGTGCCACCTTCTGTGCCACCCTCTGTCCCACCCTCTGTGCCACCCTCTGTGCCACCCTCTGTGCCACCCTCTGCGCCACCCTGTGCCACCCTCTGTGCCATCCTCTGTGCCATCCTCTGTACCACCCTCTGTGCCATCCTCTGTGCCATCCTCTGCGCCACCCTCTGTGCCATCCCCTATGCCATCCACTTCGCATCTCCCGTTTGCGAACATCCCCGCCGCTCCAACCTCCACGACATCTCCCCCCCCTCCCCCCCCACCGCCACCACCCCGTGCGCACCGTGCACCTCGCCGCAGCATGCGACCAGCTGTCCCTGGGGGTGGCCGCCATCTTCGGACCTTCTCACTCGGCGTCGGCGAGCTCCGTGCAGTCGATCGCCAACGCGCTCGAGGTGCCCCACATCCAGACGCAGTGGAAGCCGCAGCCGTCGAGCAGCCGGGACACGTTCTTCGTGAACCTGTACCCCGACTACGCGTCCGTGAGCCGCGCCGTGCTCGACCTGGTGCAGTCCTACAAGTGGAAGAGCGTCACGGTGGTGTACGAGGACAGCACGGGTGAGACGCACGCGACCTCCTCCTTCTCATGAACAACTTCTGGCTTGGCCCGGAGGTGGGGGGGGGGGGGCGCTTTAGAGGTGGAGGGAGTTGGGGGTGCTGGGGGGTGGGCGGTCCGAGAGAATGCTAAAGTCTCAACGTTGACGCCGGAGTGAATGCAATGCAACCATTTGAGTCTCGACAGTTGTACTGGCGTCAATGTCACACCACCGACACTTGAGCTGCTTGGGGCCACCCTGATCCTTGGCCGCGGATTGCTTTTGCCAGGCGCCACCTCCCACGTGGGTGTCGCGTTGACGTGAGCACGGAGCCGTGACATATTTGTGGCTATGTTTTCGATTTTTTCTCCCCTCTTCATTTTCGTTACATTTTCGGCGGCATATTTACAACACGTGCGACAAATGTGACGTTGTTGATTCTTGAAAACGGTGTCATACGTTTGTCGATAATTTCAGGATGCGTTCGATTTGTTTGCTGAATATGTCGTCGAAAATGTAACCAATGTTAAGAATCAAGCACAGCAACACACATCACACACATCAACAATCGTGATTTGTTCATTAGTTGTTGATAGAGCAACTCACCGTCGCCCTCGGGCGTTTCAGAGCTCTTTCCCTTCTATGTGACTTTACCGAAAGAACCAAGAAGATGAATCCCTGCAGTCACGAAAGCTTTAAATCGAAATAAGTGACTTACCATCGCACCTCAGCTCAACAAACTTGAAAGGGGCACGCCCCCCCCCCCGTGGCAGCTGTCCCTGTGCGGCACAAGGCGACCCCGAACCTGGCCTGCAAACGGACATGAGGGGAGTGCGACGATTGCTGTGTTATCCCCAGTGAGCCATGTGCAATCCCAGTGTCTCGCTACGTCGGAGTCTCTTGGCTTGCAATCGATCGTTCCCGGTAGGAGTTTATAAACCGAAAGGTGGACCACCCGAAAACGAATTTATGCTCATGCCCCCCCCCACCCGCCCACCCCCGATGGGGCTGGCACCTCCACTGACGAATGTAACGGCGTGCTGTGCGGCTGACGAGCAATCCGTGTCTAACCACGACGCCTCTGTGCCACGTTATACCACGCGGACGCACGAGCCCCCAGTCCATTAAGCACGAGGCCGACGTGCTCGCTCGCTCCATCGCTCGCTCCATCGCTCGCTCCATCGCTCGCTCCATCGCTCGCCGGCCGGCCGGCTGCGTAACCGGCGGCCCGAGGCACCGCGGTGAGGCTGACCTCCTCGGTGAGGCTGCCCCACCGCACCGGTGGATTTGCCAGGGGTTCCCCCGTTCCCCCGTATCGAAGGCGCGCCATCTGCGTTAGGGCTGACCTTGGCAAGAGTGCCGTGAAATGTGTAACACTCTCGCATCTCTCTTCCCCGTGGGTTATTTATGCGTCTCAGTGCTTATGTGTGTATTTGTTTGGGGTGTGTGTGCGTGGCGGTGTTGCGGTTAGCGCGCCGCGCTACGAACCTGGCGACCCCAGTTCGATTCCCGCTCACGGCCAGCACCGGTGACGATTCTCTGAAGCGGTCTTGGGCCTCCCCTAGGTTGACTCGGCTTCAAATGAGTACCTGGTGTGTAAACATATCCACTCGGGAGACAAATGTGACCGCGGGTGGTGCTGGCCACTCACCCACTCGTGCGCCGTGCCGGCCTTCATAGCTGCTCCCTAACAGCACTTTGCCCCAACAGTCTGTGAAGAGGTTTCTACGGAGGAATCTTTGTCTTTGTGTGGCCGCGGGGAGCGGTAGTGTAGTCTGTTATCAGTCGTGGCACACGCCAGCAACAGGGGTGGGAGCCACCAGCCTAATGGCAGTGGCTGAGCCACGGCAGGAGAATTGGCCGCTGTGCCTGGCCGCCCGCACCATCACGGGAGTCTTCAGCGCCATGAGTGGCACAAGTGGGTGGAGAGGGGTGCATGGAGGGGGAGGGGGTGGAGGGGGTGGAGGGGGGCCTCACACGACAACGCGGAACTTGTCCCGGCGATTTCGCAATAGATGACGCCGCATTGCGAGAAAATTCAGATGAATCCTGGCTTGGCACGAATGCCCAAGTGGGGGTAATCATTCATTTATGAATACATTTAGGTGGGTGGCAAGAAAGGAAAGGGTTAAAGTCTTCTAACCGTAAATGGGAGTCTTAATGAGCCCCTTTTACCACCCTCTCTGCCATTTATTTATCAGCTTATAAGTGCTCTGTCGCCAAGCCAATTTATTTGTTAGAATTCATTGGTTCCAATGCTGTGCACTAAAATGTAATGCAGTTATAATTGGCCCGGAATGAGTTTATTATTGAATTGCGCAATTATTGAGTGCCTAATGGAGAGATTACAATTGGTCTGAAATGGACACAAAATAATCCATCCGTTCTGGTACAACGTGTTGATCTCGCAGCTGTGCGTTCTTGCGGCGGAGCAGCGGGTTGTCATCGCTGAGCTATGAACCTGGCTTACCTGGGTTTGAGCACGCATTTATGCATGTTGAACTTATTTCGCACAGTACGTGGCCAACTTGCGCTAATCGGAGGTACGTGGGAAGGGCAACACACTACGCACAAAAAGCGGTTCTAAGAACATGAGTTTTCAATCGAGATGATTTAAAAATGCGTAGTAGCTCCCGGTCGTTTCCTTCTGTTGGAAGGAAGAGCGTTCCAGACGGCCGCAGAAGCGCTCAATGCGGTGACCATCTTTGTTCGATGGCTAGCAAAGTCCAAGTTTGAGCGTTTTCAAAATAAATCATTTAAATCGTTAAATAATTTCAATGGTTCATCCACTGCTGGATGGAGGCCTTCCTCGCTGAGCTACCACGGCTTCTCACAATCCAGCGATGGAGCAGCACGAGGCCAGGTTTTAACATTTTCAAAATAAAATAAATAAACTTGCGAGTACATACATATTCAGTGTATCACATTATCTGAGAAAACACCGCGCTTATGGTTGCATATTTCAGCGCTGTGGAACATAAATGGGTTCTCTTTGTGACAACAGGGTGAATAAGCAAGCAATAGCGTGATAAACAAAGGCAAAGATCCCCCGTATAGCCTTAACAGACTGTAGGGGCAAGTGCAGTTAGCGAGTAGCACCTATGAAAGCCGGCACGGCACACGAGGGGGTGGGTGGCCAACACCACACCCGGCCGCCTTTGTCTCCCTAGTGGCGATATTAACACACCGCACCAGGTATTCATTTGAGGCTTAGTCAACCTAGGGGCGGCCCAGTACCGGTTGGAGCTAATCGTCACCGGTGTTGGCCGTGAGCGGGAATCGAACTCGGGTCGATGGCTTCGTAGCGCAGCGCGCTGACCACTACTGCACGACCACTAGCTGCTCGACAAACACTCGGGCGCACACAGCCGCTTGTAAAACACCCGCGGTAATTCGCGGCGTGGCGCGGAGGAGGCGACCTTTCAGTGTTGCATGCGGCCGGGCCGGGGAGTCGTCGTGCTAAATCGGCGTGATATTTACGCTTTCGCTTTACGAGGATGATCCTCCGTGTTTGGCTTGCGATCGTCGGCCGACTGAAGCTCCATTTTACGCTTGGGTGCGGAATCTCTCCTCCCCCCCCGCTCCCCGGGTGCGTTTAACCCGTGGCTAGCCGGGCAAGGGGGGGGGGGAGGGTGTTGGAGTGTTTGTCCTTCGTTTGTCGCCTGCTGCCGGCTGCAATCGTGGGGTAGCTATCGGGCTAATGACAAGACTCGCTCTCAAGTCTGCGTTCTCTGGTTTTGTCTGCTTTTCCTAAAGGCCTTCGGTGTGAGTCTTGAACCTTACATTGCTTTGGAATGCAATGTAATCGGATTTGGTGAAAGTGTGTAGATGATGTGGTTTTTTTTTTCGGGAGACGTGTATGTGGAACTTCTTTCGCACCGTACGTAGCCGACCGTGATAATCGGATGGGTGACACGCACATGAAGAGTGGAGGCAATTTCTTCTTTGAAAGGAATGAGGTGTGTAAAGAGCTGAAGGGGACAGCGTAGAGGTATTCCTTGGGGCAGGTTTATTTGATTTATCTATTCAAATTATGACTATATTATTATTGTTTTTTCAAATGTTATCTCGATTGCGCTCTCAGCGTCACATCAGGAGATGAAGAATCCGTTTGGAAGCTCTCACAGAGACGTGCAAGCCTTCGTTTCTGAGAACAGCCAACGGAAGTTGATATCACAGAGCTACTGATTAGAGATTTCTTCACTCACCTTAGAGGACAGCATTGACCCTCCCACCGTGCATGACAGTTAGACCAATATTTTTTTTTGCCAAATTAAGTGAAGAATCAAATTGAATGTGATGGTTTATTTGTGCGTTCAGTTTTTACTGGCCGAGACCGGACTCTTGATCACAGGCGGCTACCTGCATTTGAACCCGGGAGCACATCGCTGGCCAATTCTACCAGCTCTGACCTCTGACCTTTGAACCACTCATCGACCACAACGAAGACACCTGTTATTTTACCGGTGGTCATAGTCGTAAAAAATTGTCCATTATGTGTATGCCAAGTATTTTTTTTCGTGCAGTTCCTTTCGCTCAACTTTAAAAAAGCACAACATTTCAATTTAGCAATATTGTAAGAAAAAAGTTTCAAGCCTCACCATAACTACCGTCACTGAATGACCTTTTCGTATGCCTTGGGAAGTTTTACATCTGCAGACATTCGCAGATGCCACTCTTGTTTGATAATAATGTCTCAAAGGAACGTCATTATCGAGGAGACTAAATTGGATTCAAACTGACAAAATTGTGGGCCCCGGAGGTGAACACATTGACCTTGGTGCCCTGCCAGCGACCAATCACCATTGTCAGCGGCAATCCTCGCACGGACAAGTAAATTGCAAATTGCTCGCAAAGAAAGATGTTAACTTGCCAACACTTGACTCTTTTCTACCCTCTCACGCCCCACCGTAGTGCCCATATTAAAACTTCCCAATATTGAAATTCGTCATAATTCATTTCCCGGCACAGAAGTTTGTAGGAGGGTGGCACGGAAATGTCACGTCGACCTTTCCCCGGGTG